AACATAGGTTACATCGTTACATCATACTTGTATTCCATTCTTATAGACGATAATTCGACCAAAGAATATCTGATATAATCATCAGACGAAATCGTAACTGGTTTATCCATGGACGTAACTGATCAATAATGATTTCTATACTTATTTTCATCAGTTCTGTAATCTTTATACCTATTTGAGAAAAATATTATAGGTACTTCTTGAGTCTTGTACTATCTGTATCAGTTTGATGCAAGGTTTGATCCATTCTCTTTCCATTAATTGGAATATATACCAATGAACAATACCCAAGAGGGCCAGGAACCGTTCCTCGTGGTACACCCTAATGTATACAATTTGAGGCGAGGTTTGAGGTGTCTTATCATCGTTTTTTTTACTGATATTGCATTGGCATAACTCAAAGTCATTATCGAATTAGATATTGCTGGAAGGATTAGGTTCTATAAAATGTGTATATAGTTAGGTACAGCTACTTAATTGTGCGATAGTTGCTATCTTGAGTACCTACTCAAGCCCAAATCCAATTATGACAAGTGGAGTTTTGATTCATTGACACAAGATTTTCTCTAGAAATTCGTGTTATGAGTTCCTCTATTCTAGTAGCGGTGGTGGAAATAGATTAACGTTTACAAATAAAACGAGAAACTTCATGATCTTGCATGAGAGAATTCACATAAGAGATAGTTGTATATTGGGAATCCAAATAATTCCAAAATCATAGACTGAAGTTAAGAATCTAGAATATGAATCAACTAATATTTGGAGCAGTGATTGTGGTAATTAAAGAAACTTCTCTGAGATCGAGAGTATATTCATTTTATATGGAAATGAGTATATCATAAAACCTGTCTTATCTGAAAGAATCATGAACTAGTGCCGATGAAAATTTCTTTTACTTTCTGTTATAACTGCTGCTATATGTTTAAATTCGATATTTTATTGAATAACTTATAACATATAATAATGCTGTCATCTAATATCTGACAAGACAATCAATAATGAAATAATTGAATTGTGAAATATACTGAGCCACCCAACACCTCCCTCTCATAATTTGAAATCATCAAAGTAACTTGGAAGTCTTCTTTCTCTAGTAGTAGGTCTACATGGCTCGCGCTCTTTGCTCACACTAGATCCAGATGCCATGATAATGTTCTCTTCTGAATTTTCTTGATGAGTGAGATCGGCAGGTGCTATTGTTTCTGATGTAGTATTTGGCTTCTTGATTTCGAATGAATCCAAAAGTATTGAGAATGGTAGCTGATTTTGAGAGTTCTTATCATCCTTGCTCTAGGAGTGAAACGGGGTTTCAATTGATTGACATGAGCTCTTATCAACTGATTTCTCTTTTTTTTTTCTCTTCATTCAACAACTTATTTACAAATTTTGTCTTAAATTCTAGTTAAATTAGGTAAATTCCTAAGTTGTACCACTGATGATAAAGTTTTTCATAAGATCATAAGACTTAACATTATATTGCTTCAATTGCTGTGAATGATGCAATAGGGTTTCCTTATATTCCGAGTACGTACAAGTCTGGGGATGTTCTAATACATACATTATACTGAATACTATAACGAAAATCACAGCAGCGTTGGCTGTCTAAATTCTTCCATCAAGACACTGCTGCTATATGTTTAAATTCAATATTTTATTGAATAACTTATAACATATAATAATGCTGTCATCTAATATCTGACAAGACAATCAATAATGAAATAAGTGAATTGTGAAATATACTGAGCCACCCAACACTTTCAAAAAGTTCAGTTTTTCGTCGGTCTAATTTGATTTTTTGTGGCTGTCCACATCAGTCATTCCACGTCATTCCTGTAGTGAGACGGCATGAAAAGTAGCAACCGGAATCGGAAAAGTTACAAATAAAACGACACAACAAAGTGATTCTGGTGGCGAAATCGGATAAATAAAACGTAACTACTATTTCTCATGTTATGACAATGTTTGCCGTTCGCCCCCAAAAGGAACGTCTATGACCCTCTGTTTGAAGGGTTGCGATTTTGTTATCGGACGCGGCAACATGTCCTGTGAAACAAGGGTTGCGTGTGTGCCATTGTCACTTATTTACCTCACTAACAATGCCTACTAGTATAGATTGTTCAAGTACTTGGTTTATTTATAAGTTCGGAGCTATTTTCATGTCAATCGTGGATGCTTGATAGAAAATTTCATGAAGCCACAATATTACTATTTCAGGGAAGTAATGAGACATGATATCTATACTTAACTATAGGACAAATCAATTTCCAGATGGTCACTGATAATCACATGATACCTCGCATGATACCTGCAGCTCATGTCAGATTTTAATAGGTACTTGCAAATTGCAGTCAAGAACATTTGCTTATTCTTCTGAAGAAGCTGAAATGGCCGATGATGAATATTTCGTTTATAACATTTTGTTTTTGGTTTCGCATGTTCAAATAGGTATATAGCTAAGTATATCGATGATTGGAAGATGATACTCATCTCAAAAGTAAAGTAGGTATATCTGTCTAATATTATCATCATGACTTATGAATGAAACAATCAAGTCAAGTGAATAATATTTTGATATCAACTAGTAACGAGACTATAAAAGCATTATCTATACATTATTCAATTCTGATTCAGACTTATACTGATTATGTGCTTGTTGCCCTGAATGAAAAAATGGGGAACATTAAATAGAATTGTAATCTCCCACAGCTGCATCTACATAAAATTTATAATTCTGTTTGGTGGATCAAACTACCATCACACTATTACCTATATTTTTCACGACAACGTAGGTTTACCTACCAATAATTTTCTATGATCCTGATATCCCAAATTTAAAATTGGAGTGAGTAACTTCTTTCAACGAATGTTTCTGTTCAATCAATCATTTGTTGTAGGAGCATGAATGTACTTTTCGTCGTTACTCTCATGCTTCTGTGATTTCCTCCTTTCTCTATTCTAGGTATATCAACCTCATCAAACTACCTACTCGATGATATGATGATAATGATGTTATACTCGAGATGTTACCAATCATATCTGCACAAATGTATCAAGAGTTTATAGCCTCGATATAAGCTGTATGTGTTATTACCTAGTTGATATAAAGTATCATAGAGAGATTTTTTATTTGTTGCATTCCCTCGTTTGACCAAGCACTTATTTTTCATATTCTAACTTTTCATAAGTTGTCACAGCGCACTACTATAGAATCTATAAAATATATAATTATACTTTATGAATTATTTTTTATATTTATTTCTTGTCACGCCTGCGATGGGATATCTTGAGGGATATCTATCCAAACTCTCAATCCATTCTAGTCCGAGTTCGAGTCTTTTTATCTTTTGATAACCATAAAAAACAATACAGGGTAGTAATGAACTCGGTTGCTACAAAACGGTAGATTCCGAGGTAGATTCACTGTCGTTCTTGTGACCGATTTTCTCGAGGATTTTCTCTTGTAAGTTCGATAAGTTTGACTTGACGTGATTCACTTCTCATCTTGATTTATCGATTCACAATGAAATACAATATTCCCATTTCAGTTATTGCATCAAGTTTCAATGGATTCGTTTACTGAGGTGAATTAATGATCGATACATTTTCAATTTGATGAAGTTTTTTTTTATAACAAGACAATACAATACATCTTCTGCTTCTGCAAACTGTTCACAAGAATTAGGTACTTTCGGTGCAATAATTGAAAATCGAATACTGGCCGAGCATGAATGTTTGAAAAATGATTAAAACTATATAATTAAACAAATGAAAGAATAATGAACCACAACCGTAGTAACCAGTAGATAACCATTGTCAAAATTGTTGGTACCGGCTAACATACCTATCATTTTTCATCATACCTATATCATCACTATACCTATGATATCTTATTCTTGTGACTCGAGGGAATTTATGACAATATATAAGTGAAAAATGAATAAGATTCTAGCGAGGATCCTAGGTCATTTTTAGACTTTGCTGTCTCTGATGATGTAACAAATCAATTCCTCAAGATGATTTATGAGTACCTAGTGACCTGTTATTATTGGGCTCTTCTCAACAAAGATTTGCACTTGATTCTTCAACAGCTGGTGCATAGGTAGGTATAACTCTTTTCTTCAATGCAATATAAGCCACGCTTAGATCCTTAGTAGGTTAATTTGCATATTATTACCTGTGTGTATTATTATATCTCATTTGCATCATTGAATCGATATGCCATATTTTCTTCATTCTTATTTATTTCATTCTATAAGCTTCAAGCAGATACAATACTACACACGTACCCTAGTTTTGAGTATAATTCTTTCATTGTTTTTCCGCTGGCTTCTTTATTCAATCATTTAGACTCTTCACCTATAGGTACTATGTTAACAATTTCATTACCTATTTCTACAATCCTTCAACATAGATCTCTACTATCTTTCCACATAGATCGCGATAGGTACGGAGACGTTCCATGTCACTCCTGACCAAGATTTTGCTCATGAACTTATTTTATCAACTTTCCGATTATAAGACTGTTCAACACATCTTGTTCATTCCACATATATGTATAGTCTATCCAAATTTATTTGAAGCGTTTATCAGTTGTACAATCAGTTGATGTTCATCGTACGGGAAGAATGTTGAATTGGAAAAAGCCAATCTGTGAACGTCTCTCACGTGCACGGAATTCAACAAACGATTGATGAGGGATAATTTGATGATTTCATTATCTTCATCTTCATGTGCCTTTTGCATGACATAATAAACTGGGTCGTGAGGATCAAAATTCGTAAGACTGACCCCATCTAACTCCTTGATTAATCATAATCCCACTCTATCCAACAATTTGAAATTCATACCCTAACAATTTTATGGTTGGTCCTCCGAAGCCGGTGCTTATCCTCTTTTATTTACCGCCTTAAATTTGACATTCAAAGTAAGCCGCTCACTGTCACAGCGTTCTCCTATTCTCGCCTACTTGAATTTTACCTCTTAATTTGCATATTATTTACCTGTAAGCATTCCTATCCAGTGTCAAAATAAATCCTCAACACCTGAGTCACTAGGTATAATAACAACACACACTGATGCACCATTAACGGATGAAAAGTCCTCGTATTCCGGAAACACAACACTGAAAGTTCTGCTACAACACAATGATACAATTAAAACTATACAGGTGGTAATTAAATCTATTAAAACGTGTGATATCTTAACGCAGACAACATAACCGGTCCGGCTTTGAACTTCAACTGTTTTGTGCATAATGTTGACAGCCAATAAGGGGCGGAGCCGGGAGGGGATAACACCCCCACCACGCGACACCTGAAGGAGTGGGGGTAAGCGAGTGGGGATGGCAGGCGCGGTTGAACGGACTTGGAATAAGTTCGGAGCGGATTTGTAGTGTGTTCGCTTTGCAACAATTCCATTCCATTTTTTTCACAGCGGGCTTGATTGAGGTATTGAGGTGCCTGCTATAGGATTTTGGTCATCATCCTGCTCAATGGAGGAGGAGGTAATCGCCATTGTTTTGATCTTGGGGAAGTAAATATGGACAAATATGAGGGTAATGAATTTGCAGTGTGATCTCCTTCTTCTGCAACTAAGTTTTTTGTTCTTTTGCATTGTTTTTGTGAATGACATGTTAGTAAACGTAGGAGATATCATCAAACGTGGATAAGTATACTCACACATCTCTATCATTGACTTTAGTCATCATTCTGTTTGATGAAAGTAGGGGTGATGATTGTCATTGCATTAATTTCGTTGAAGGCTGATGTATTCTTCTTCTGTAACAAAGTTATTGGAGCCATCAGTGTAGTCTCCTAGATTCAGGATTCGTTCTAGGAACATGTTGACTAGATGGAGACAAAAATCTAGCCACGTTGTTTCTTACTTTCCTTCTTCTGTTGTTTTTGTGAATGTCTATAGTCATTTGTTGGATGACATGTTAGTAAACGTAGAAGATATCGTGAAACGTGAAGTATATAAAGTTCCACCAATGACTTTTAGCATAGTTTTTTTATGGAGGAAGAGGTAATTGTCATTGCTTCAATCTTGGGGAAATCGATAATCTGATGCAGTTTGCTGTGTGCTTCTTCTGTGTAACAAAATTATTGGAGACAGTGTAGATTTGAGATTCGTTCTAGGAAAATGTCAGCTACTTAGATGGAGAGAATAATCTTGTGTTTTGTTTCGCCTCTTTTGTTGTTTTTGTGAATTTCAAGTCGTTTGTTTGATGACAGATTAGTGAATGTAAAAGGTATTGTCAAACGTAGAGTATAGGTATATAGTTCCAACAATGACGTCTGGCATCGTTCTGTGAATATGCACAAATATCGAAGTATCAAAGAGGTTGATATAAATCAGTTTCAATCTGATTTAGCATCCATTCCATGGAGAAACATTTATGACATAGATTTGGCAGAAGAAAAAGTAGATTTTCTGTATCACAACCTGAATATACTGCTTGATATTCACTGCCCGTTAACAATATCTAAATTTTCGAAAAAATTTGCTCCTTGGATGACAGACAATATCAAGATATTACAAAAACTAAGAAAAAAAGCTTTAAGCCGCTATAAAAAGAATAAAAATCAACGTAACTGGGAATATTTCAAACAAATTCGTAATTATACTACTCTGGCAGTGAAACATGAAAAAAAAGCATATTTGAACCACCAAATGAAATACTCTGATAATATTTGGAAGGATTTTAGGGACTTGAACGTATATGATAGAAGACAAAATCGAGATATACCAGATGAGCTTAGTAATGCTGAAGAAATAAATAATTACTTTTTGAATTCAATTCCTGATATATCAACAGCAGCCACTGCAGATGTGGTTGATTTTTTTGATACAAATAAATTAACAAATTTAATATCTACTGATTTACTTTTCAAACAAGTCACTGAAATCGAAGTTGCAAAAATTATTAACTCTATTAAATCAAACGCCATTGGATCTGACGGTATTGGAATAGATTTTATAAAATTGTGTTGTCCTTTTCTTCTGGAATATCTCACTAACATCGTTAACTCATGCATTATTCAGGCTTATTTTCCACAAAAATGGAAAGTTGCACAAGTTATGCCATTACCAAAAGGAAATCAGCCAAAATCATTCAAAGATCTAAGACCAGTCAGCATTTTACCAGCACTCTCAAAAATATTGGAGAGAATTATCAATATACAGCTTATAACTCACGTTGATGAGAATGGAATATTGCCTGAAACTCAAGCAGGTTTCAGACATGGATATAGTTGTGCTTCAGCTCTACTCAGTGTTACTGATAGAATTTTGAAGGCTGCTGATGAGAGTAAACTCACAATTGTAACACTATTAGATTATTCCAAAGCCTTCGATAGCCTCAACCATGTATTATTATTGTCAATTTTGAATTATATAGGATTGGGGAAAGATGCACAAAAGTTTTTCCGCAGCTATCTCTCAGATAGGTCGCAAAAAGTAATTTTGAAAAATATTTCATCGGGTTTGAAGACTGTCAAAAGTGGAGTTCCACAAGGCTCGATTCTTGGCCCACTTCTTTATAATATTTATACATCTTTTCTATACAAAAGTTTAACATATTGCGAAACGCAATATTATGCAGATGATACACAGCTGCTTTTATCATTCCACATCGCAGATGTACTGGAAAGTTGTGAGAAAATTAACGATGATCTCAAGAGCCTTGAATATATATCTCAGACTTATTCCTTGCAGATGAATCCAAGTAAGAGTGTAGTATTGCTATTTGGTCCAAAAAAGGCGAAAGAATTAGCACTTCCTTTGATAAACATCACTGTAAATGAATCTCCTGTACCACTCAAAAGGGAAGCTAAAAATCTTGGATTAATAATGGATGATGATCTCCGCTTCAAAAGTCACGTGTCTAACTGTATTCGGAAATCTTTCTCTAAAATAAGAATGCTGTACAATTCTAGAAATTTCCTCAACTCAAATTCAAAGAAATTGTTGTGTGATGCATTGGTTCTTTCAACATTTGATTATTGCGATGTAGTATATGATTCATGTTTAGACGTATCAAGTGTTGATAGAATACAGAGGATACAGAACATCTGCCTTCGATTCATTTACGGGCTCAGGAAATTCGACCGAGTATCTCATAGATTGAGCCAAACAAAGTGGCTTTGATGAAACAAAGGAGATTTTTACATAAAGCGTGTTTTTATCACAAGATAGTCCGTACTAAAACACCCAAATGCCTGTATCAGAGATTATCCTATCGAACCCACATTCATAATATCAACGTGAGATATAAGAATAATTTGAGTATACCAAAACACAGAACAGCGCTCTACGAAAGATCTTTCACATACAACTGTTCTCGTATTTATAACTACCTTCCTCAGGAATTGAAAAGTCTGTCAACCAACTGTTTCAAGCGGCAACTACGAGAGATGATATTGACAAGGTCATTAAGTATTTTATAATTTACTTCTCGTTTTATATGCTCATGCAAAATGAGACACTCGTCCCTCATTTATGAATCTCTTTATTTCAACTAGAAGTAGTTAGTGTTTTTGTATTTTGTTCTCCTTCGCAAATGAAAAATTATCGAAATTATTGTTGATTCTATCATATGAATGGAGATGATATAATAAGGTATTTATCGTATTGAATTTGTTTTTGTTGTTTTTGTATTGTTTATTTATAGTTCATTTACTAATTATATGGAATTATTTAGTCGATAAGTTATTAATGTTTATAGCTATATAATTAATATTTAGGTATAAAATTCCACCTTTTGAATAGAATAATATGATTATTCAGTTTGGGGTTAAGTTGAGTAGGAATTGACTGGATTCGTCTGGTCATGACTAGACTTCGCCCATTTGCCCTCGGTATTATTGTTTTTTTTTTTTTGTGAGGACAAATAAAGACAAATTATTATTATTATTATTATTATTATTAGGGTAATGAATGTGCTGTGTGATCTCCTTCTTCTGTATAACTATAAGTTTTTTGTTTTTTGCATTGTTTTTGCGAATTACATGTTAATAAACGTAGGAGATATCATCAAACGTGAATAAGTATATACTTATACATCTTTATCATTGACTCTATAGTCATCATTCTGTTTGATGGAGAAAGAGTTGATGATTGTCATTGCATTAATCTCGTTGAAGGATGATGTATCCTTCTTCAATAACAAAGTTATTGGAGACAGTGTAGCCTTCTAGATTGAGGATTAGTTCTAGGAACTTGTTGACTAGATCTAAATCTAGCAACCTTGTTTTTTACTTTCCGTCTTCTGTTCTTATTGTGAATCTTTCGTCATTTGTTGGATCACATGTTAGTAAACATAGAAGATATCGTAAAACGTGAAGTATAGAGTTCCATCAATTACTTTTATCATAGTTTCTTATGGAGGAAGAGGTAATTGTCATTGCTTCGATCTTGGGGAAATCGATAATTTGATACAGTTTGCTGTGTCCTTCTTTTGTAACAAAATTATTGGAGACAGTGTAGATTCAAGATTCATTCTAGGAAAATGTCAGCTACTTAGATGGAGAGAATAATCTAATCATCTTGTGTTTTGTTTTACCTCTTTTGTTGTTTTTGTGAATTTCAAGTCGTTTGTTTGATGACAGGTTGGTGAATATAGAAGATGACTTTTGGCATGATTCTGTTTGATGAAGGAGGGAAGGGGGATAATACATTGTTTTATCGCATTGAACTTCGTGGGGAAGTCGGAACACAGTAATCTATGATAAGTGTTATTATAAGTCAAGAGAATGTCTAGTTGTAAGATTAATAGTTTTATGATCATCAATATGTCAACTATAGATATAGGTAGAGGAAGTTCTAGTCACCTTTTTTCTATTGTGCCCGAATTAGACATTATGACTCCAGATAATATCATTAGCTCTCTTTGTTTCGATATTTTCTGAAACATATTATATACTTCCAACTATCAATTTTGAAGAGGCCATAGTGGAGGACTTTGGATATTTCCAAACGTACTTGCTTTGTAAGAGCTAGAAATTGTGCGATATGATCACTGATTACTTTTCAATTATTTTTTGTGGAAATACCAAAACATGTAGATAAAAACAAACAGCTCATTCAATCTTTATATTGTTATAACAATTAGTTGCTAACAGAACAATCTTTCATAGCATTTATCCAATAATAAATTTGATGGGATAGTAGAGATGACGATTATTCCATCGAATAACTTTTGAATATTCCATTTTCTACTGACTAGGAC